TGAAGAGCTGAGGGACAGCGCCCAGGCCCAGAGTTCAAGCCCCACGACCGACAAAAAAAAAAAAAAAAAAGCACCCAGGCCCTGAGTTGAAGCCCCACAAAGGGCATAAAAATAGTAACAATAATACATACTTGAAACAAAGTTCTTACTTAGCTCTACGGGATAATTAAACATGGGGAACTCCACAGAAACTACAAAACATTACAAATTCTAATTACCCCCATAAAACATTGTCATAGATCCTGGAAATTACCCCTCTGACTGGGTTATTTCATATAAGCTTCTCTCTTTCCTCTTCCATTAGGTAGGTTTTACTAATTCTAGTTTGAGGTGTATTAAAGAAAAATCTTCCTGGACAAAGGTGGCTCACACCTGTAATCCTACCCATTCAGGAGACTGAGATCTAAGAGAATCACAATTCAAAGCCAGCTGGGCAGGGAAGGAAGTCCGTGAAACTCTTATCTCCAATTAACCGCCAGAAAACCAAAAAGTGTCACTGTGGCTCAAAGTAGTAGAGTACTAGTCTTGAGCAAAAGAGTTCAAGGACAGTGCCAAGGCCCTGAGTTCAAACCCCATGACCAAAAAAAAAAAAATAACCTGAAGATTCTCTAACAGGGTAGGCATCTGTGGCTCATGCCTATAATCTTAGCTTCTCAGGGGGCTGACATCTGAGGATAGAGGTTAGAAACCAGTCCGGGCGGAAAGCCCCGAAGACTCTTATCTCCAATAAACTAGTAAAAAAAAAAAAAAAAAAAGAAAGAAAAAAAAAAACAGAAGTGGCACTGTGGCTCAAATGGTAGAGCACCAGCCTGAGCAAGGCAAGGCCCAGAGTTCAAGCCCAAGGACTAGGTAAAAAAAAAAGTTCTAAAAGTATAATAAAACAAATCATGAGGAATTTGCTCTAAGTTTAATCTTTGCAAGTAAAAATATTTGACTTTGAAAGATGAAATTATCAATCGTTATCTAACACACTAATTTATTTACTTAAAATTATGACAAACTATACACTTAATCTGTAAATCACACAAAACATCATTCAAATATGTTAGGAATTATCCTAACGTAAAAATATTTTTGGCTAGGTTTTAATTCAATTCTCACTCAGGGCAATGCTTAGATTTTACTCTCTTCCAAAAAAAAAAAAAAATACACACACACATTACATGAGAAAATTCTGTTTAACTTCTCCACGTTTTACACACAAACTTCATTACAACTTCCTTTTTCCCCCAGTAACAAGGTAAATGCAAAACAAAGAACCTTGCCCTCTGCAATGCAGAGGAACAGAGAGCAAGGGAGAAGCTAACACATTACAAATCCTAAATGTCAAGAAAAACCACAGATGCCAGCCCCAAGAAAATCTGTATGTATAAAATGGTTAAGAATGGGTGTATTTCAAAGCCTCAACATAAATCCTAAATAGCTGCATCAAAAATTCTGAGGCACACTGCAGTGCTCCAGAAAGAAGTGTCCTCACTCACAAACTATGTTGTTATAAATATTAACTGCAAAGATATAAAAAAGCTAGTCTTTGTGATGTTATATAAAAACATTACTTTTTGGCTATCAGTCTGGGTTATACATTGATTATAAGCCTGTTAAATTATTTTGAGTTTTTCTTTAAAAAAAAACAAACCAAAACTAGTCTTTCATCTACCAAAGTCACTGGCCACTAAATCTATTTAATTATGTTTGTAAAGAGTATAGCCATTTTAAATGCCATCTATTAAAGCCTCCTTTATTTTAAATCTAAACTGATTGCATCTTGCAATATCAAATGAGCTCCTAGTTAAAATTAAGACTGGATTTTGTAACATATTCTTATATAGCCTAAGGCCCAATTCTGTAGAGAAGACCTGATAACAAAACTAGGTAGAATACATCATTCAATTCCCTTATTACCTATTTAAAAGGATTTGTAAATGAGATTTTACATTTGATTCTCCTTAAAACTGCTCCTTAAAACTCCTCCATTTGCTGAGCATTTATTTAGTACCCAAATTTCAAAAACCACCAAGCCACTTAGTTGCATTATATAAGAGAATCTATTTCATCCAAGTTAAACATGTATTTTCACTGAACTTTTTCCTAGTGGCTGAAACTACTAGAAAATAAGTAACTTTGTTTTTTAAATGAAGCACAATTGTTTCAATTCTGTTACAAAAATGATACTACTTATCTACTTAGTAACTTTTGTTACAACAATTTCAAATTCCAGGGAGAAAAAAATTTTGATCCAGAAAGTTCAAATGTAAACAAGTTAAGGATCAAATACAGTTCAAATATAAGTTGCTGAACTGACTGAAGAAGAAATGCAGTTTCTAAAATTTACTTTTCAGGCGCTGTGGCTCACCTCTAAAATCCTAGTACTTAGGAGACTGAGATCTGAAGATCAGAACTGAAACCCAGCCCAAGCAGGTCAAGTCCAAGACACCTTATCTCCAACTAACCCAAGAAGCCGCTGTGACTCATGACAGAGGGCTAACCATGAGCAAAAAAGCTGAAGGACAGTGCCCAAGCCCTGAGTTCAAGGCCCAGGACTGGCATCCCTCCAAAAAAAAAAAAAAAATCACTTTTACTCCATTAGGATTTATAAAGCCTAATTCAAAACAGATTTATAAAGCAAATCCTATCTTAGGTACATTATAAAGGCTTACTCCTATTGAAAAATAAATGTTACTAAATCTTTTCATAAAGAAAATAACCTATTGAATTACAAACCAAATTTACCTAGGTTTTGGAATATAGAATGCTTTGGAGTTTCTCAATAAAATGTTTTAACAGCAATTAAGCCTCATCAGTACTGTCAATTCTACTGTTTAATAAGTAGGTAGAACAGCTACATACAAGTAGGTAGCTTATCAAAAACCTTCAACCGTAACTTGACCTTTTCTGTTATTTAGTACCCAAACACTGACAGAAAAAGACACTTAAATATATGTTAATTTCGTGCAGTTAAGTGTGCAACATTACAAGACAATCTTTCAGTATGTACTAACCAAGTCAATAAAAATGATTGTATTACACTCTCCTCTATAATTTAGGAAGAGATGTTAATGTACTGTTATACACTCCTATACACAAGTGACCAGCCATGATTCAGAGCCTACAGGGGCTTATAAACTAGGGTTTGGGTTTTTTTTTTAAATACACTTTTAACACTAGAATCTGTCACTTCACAACTACACTGGCTATTCATCAACACCTGGCTTCATGTAGTTGCCTTTGGAGAATTTTCAATCCCTAATATACCCATACTTAAAACTATTATGTTGATTCCTATTCGACAAGAACAAATTTCCTAGAAATTCAAAAGGTAATCCATTCAAACATCAGCCAGATTCACAGTATTGTTTACTTTATTAGGAAATGTTTAAAAGATACTCAAATTGTCAGAGTGACCAAAAAACTAAAATCACTTGACAAATCAAGAGGCAGTGGTCTTAAGATACTCTTATTCTAAGCCATATTTGAAGTCAGCAACACTTGAGATGTTTTCACTGCTTTGTTACAACAAATCTATTATTCCACTTACTAATAAAGCACACTCGTACATCAAAATAAAAGAACTCTTAAGCTAACAGTCTCAAGTGATTGTATCTCTCAAATTAATAAATTCCAGGAAATTTAAGCAAAACTTCTAACAGAAAAGTGTCAAGGTAAATGTTCGGTTTTAAAACTAAGTAATCAGTAAATAAGCAATTACCACTAAGGCCTACCACTAAGAACACCAGTTCTTTCCAATACATTGTCCATAACCCAAATTTTTAGGCAAAAAAATTACTATCTCAATTACTTAATACTATGAGGAAGCTGGCTAAATGGCCATTTAGAATAGTTTCTTCACAATTCAAGATCTAAAAAAAAAAAAAAAAAAAACAGTGTAGTAGAGAGAAGCAAGCAGAAGTTGTCAAAGGAAGCAGTATTTTACTTTTGGAGGTAAAGGACAAAGTGACACTAAGTCACAAATTTAATAACTGCCTAATGTTGAGCCCATTTGTTTTTCTCTAGCCACTACTATCGTACCCAGGGTTGAATTACTCTCCCTGCCTTTTCTCTCCATGCATGTCCCTCAAAACAGAGTTGCCACACTGTCCGGCTCTGAAAACACAAAACAAAAGGCAGATATCTCCATGTGTGACCACCGAATGGTTCAATATTAAATGAAAAAATGTGGGTGTGGTTCGACTTTTTAGGAGGGGAGAGGGAGGCCGGCTGGGGTGGCTGCCTGGTCTCTGCCCTCCCCCTCTGCCTTCGCTTTGTGCTCACAATGCAGCTCCTGTACAACGCTTCCCTCTCGACTCGCAGCCGCCGCCATGTTAGACTCAGTCTCCATGTGCGGAGACCTAGCGACCGTCTCCGGTCTACCCTGAACCCATCACCCGGCGAACAACAATCCTTGGAGACCCCCGGCCACTTTTACAGTCCCCCAGGGGGGAAAGGTCGCTGATGAAGATCATCTCCTTACTGGGCTGGGCCTGGGCAGCCCCCCCCCGGGGGGGGGGGCACCCAGACAATTGAAACAAAGAAGGAAACATAGGAGCCCACTCGGGGGCGGTGAGGGAAGGACAGCAGAGAGGAGACCACTCCAAACGGGCCCCCCGGGTGAGCGATCCTCCCGCTCGGGGACGAAGAGCCGCACGCAGGGTAAAGGGGTGCACAAGCCCCGCGGCGTGAGGACTCAGGCCGTCCCAGCTCCACGAGGCGATCGGCTGCCCCCAAGTGTCGCACACCGCGGATCGCCCCATTTTGTTCCCTATCTGGCCCGATCGGAGCCGACGGGGCCCCACCTCGGAATCCCATTCCCTAGATCAAGGCCAGACCCACCCGGGGCTCCAGTTAACCGAGGCCTGGGGGCAGCGCGTCCGGGTCAGGTGACAGGCACCACCCCGAGGCGCCCGCTTTCTGGATCCGAAGCTCCGCCGGCCGCGGACAAGCTGGTGGGGGGGCGGGGATTCCGGGACCCAGCGAAGCCCTCCCGCTCCCGCCAAGCCGGGCACCTTTTTCTTCTCCAGGTTGCGAAGTTTCTTGTCGATCACCCCCAGGATCTGCTTCATGGCCTCGGTTTGGACGGCGCCGGTCCCGGTGGCGGGGTGTTGAGAAGCTGGCGCAGCGGCCCCGGCCCCCGCCTCGTTCCCGGAGGAACCCGACGATGGCGGTGGTGGTCCCGACGATTTGCTGCCGCTTCCGCTGTGGCTGGTGGCCGAAGGCATCTTCAGATCGGAGTGGAGGGAGAGAGAAGAAAAGCGGGAGGAAGAACAAGAGGCGGCGAGTCAGGGGACGGACGGACGGGGCGAGACGCGGGACAAAACGCGCAGCGGGCAGCGGGCGGCGGGAGCCTGCGCGAGCC